ACTATGGCGTGGTGGCCATTCCGGCAGGCCCAGGAGAGGGGAGTCCGGCCGCGGTCGTCCACGACGTCGATTCTGGCCGAGTGGTCGAGCAAGAGCTGGACGACAGCCACACGGCCGTTTTGGGCTGCCAGGTGCAGCGCCGTAGCACTGTGGCTGTCTTGGTGATTTGCATCGACATTCTCTTCTAGGAGTTTCGCCGCAACTGCATCCAAGCCCCAGTAAGACGCCACATGCAGAGCTGAGACTTGCCTCGGAAAGCGATCGTGCCACCCCTTTGTCTTATGGCGGGACATGTGGAGGACCTGAATCGAAGAAGACAGCTTCTTTTCGCTGTGGAGGAAGCTTTGAAGGAGGTCCATGAGGTCCATGTCTTCAGCGGTGCCAGCGGTCTGGCTGGCGTCGCGGAGATGGGAACCCCAGTGATGAGACGCATAGTCGAAGAAGGGGTATTCCCGTAGCCGCGCTTCGAGGTCTTTCTCATTGCTGCACGGCCAGTTCTGGAACTCGTCAAGGTTCAAATAGTGGAGGCATGCCCTGGCCATCTCCTTCTCCGACCATGGCAATATCTGCTCGGGGCGGGCTTGGAGATGGCTATGCAGAGTATGGTGGACGATGCCGGCTTGGGCGTCGGCTTTGATGAGCTCAACCGAATTGTCGAGAAGAAGGCGAAGATTGACGATGTTCGTCTCGTCCAGGTCGGCATCGTTTGTTTGAGTCCCCAGAGCATGGTGCAGCTCTGCCGTGCTGAGCGGCCTCTTTGCGGAGAAGAGGTAGCAGAGTGCCATCCCCACCTTCTGCTCCTTATTGCTGGGCTGGTCTCCAATCCTCGTCATGGTCGTGTCGAAGAGAGCGAACGGAGTTGCGGACGCGTTTGCCCACGTTTTCGAGTGCTCGTTTGGTTGCAAAGCAGGCGTGGGCAGGTAAGGCATTTATCGAGGGGTCATTGAAACAAAGAAAAGCCGTCGGTTCTATGTGGATGCGCTTTAACAAAGAGGCTCTACAAAGGTAATGAGGGGAGCTTCAGCGGGGTCCGGAGCAGCCTTTGCTTCCGGGGGGTAGGGGAGGGGGGGGGGGGGGGGTAGTAACGGGATATACATGCACAGACACTGGCTGGTCTCCCCCTGCTGGGGCAAACTGACTTGCACCCAGACTCCCTCAAGCGAATGCCAAGTGACCCGAGTCGAACGAGACAAGGTAATCGGATGACCGACCACCCACAATAGCCCGCCCTCAACTGCCAAAAGGAAGCCCACACACCGACATCATGTGCACAAGACATCTGTGTGGGATCAAGACGCTCAGACGCTGGTGAGGGCGTCAATGACTCGGTCATAAGAACCGGACAATCATTGTCGAGCATGTAATCAGCAAAAGTGTTAGAGCTCATGCATTGCAGTGCCAAAGGGCAAGCAAAGGTGGTACGCAACACGGAGAGATGTTAGTCGCCCCTACTACGACACCCCGCAAACCGATGTGATCTCTTCGCTAAAGGAGCGTGACACTTGCATATTGGATCCTCGCAAGCGCCAAAGAGTTTACCTAGACAAGCGCTAGCGGAGAGCATGCTGGCCTAGTGGCCTTGGGGCGCGAGAATGACAACGAGCTGTTGAGTTTGGTACGCCACAAAGACGCTGGTTTGGTTGGACTTCTGGACAAGGCTATAATCGAAGGAAAGATTGCTGGAAGAGAAGGCTAAACGGGAAGTTAATTTGGTTCCTGTTTAGTGTTGCGGGTACACGGCGGGGTCTTTAATACCTGCGCCTGGAGGCATCAAACCGAACGGCTGGACCCCTCAAGGTCAGCCTCCGTTACACTCCTCCTCTTCCTTGCTCGCGCCCTTCATTTTCCCTTCAAGCCACCTGGTAATATCAGACCCCAAGGGGCCCATCCCCAACTCTTGAATTTCCACCGTCTTCAACCCCTCCAGCGTGCAAAGGCCCTGCACACCCGCATCAGCCCTGAAGGCGTCAAGCCCCATGCCCTTTACTAGATCGCTGTCAAACTGAACGGATAGATGCCGCAATCTTTTGCACCGTTTCAGCAACTGGATGCAAATCGACACCGTGTGTGAGGGAAGCTTCCCAGGGAGCTGCTCGAGAGCTTGATCGGACCAGGCAGCCGTGGCCCATGTGCACGTAGGCTCAGAGGTGCTTTCCCAGGCTACGCGCAAAGTTTCGATATTCTTGCGCCCGATTTGACCGACGGAAATGAGAAACCTGGTAGCGCTTTCGAGGCTGTCCAGGCAGAATGTGGTGCGGCGATAGGCCAAGGGCAACGCCTCTTTCCGTATCTGTTTGTTGACTCGGAGGATCGACAAGGGTTTGCCTAGCGGATAGTAGAAACCACTGGGATCACCAATGCTCCGAGGGAAGTTATCACGCCCAAATTCCTCATCGTCTACCATCCTCCACACCCCTTGGGCCAGCGCGAACTTGTAGATGCTTTGACGAATCTCCAGGGGAAGAAGGCTTAGGAAGGTCGTTGCGGCAGGGGTTGACGTCGAGCTCATTGCTAACCGCTTGTGAAGCTGTGGGAAACGTATGATGTCAGCACAGCTTTGCATCCTGCAGACATCAACAGCACTGACCTTGGTTGTGGATAATACCCGAGCCGCCTCGTGCTCGGAGAACAGAAAGGCGAGATTGAGTCCGAAGCCGTAGTGAATGTCGACGGGGAATCTGTAGGAGCCAGGACCGTGGTCATGGCGAACATGAAGTCTGACAAAGTCGGAATGATTATGATCGACCACCTGCACTGTCTGGAACACACACGTTGTCAGCCTCACGCGTCAACCCCGCAACGCAATATTGCTGCTGTGGAAATCCCCCAAGACGCTGATTGATCCGGTGGCCTACCTCGCTCTCCCCTTGCCGCAGCGTAATGGACTGGGTTCGCTTCGCACGCTTTTCTCTGAGGAATTCTTCATGCTCTTTTGTGATTCGTTCGATACCATCGGTAGAAACAGGGCGAAAATTGGAAAAGAGGCGATTAGCACCCGTGGGTGCTGGGCTGCTCAGGTCAACTTCAAGTTGACTGAGCTGGAACCCCAATTCCTCCTCCAACTCCACTACCGATAGCGTCGGTCTGCGCTTCGCCATGCTCGTGCCGGTCCAGAAGTGTGTGAGAAGAGGAAAAAGACGAGGGACAAACAAAGAAATCTGGAACAGGAGAGCAAACAACCGCGAACGGCAGCATGTTTTCATCCCTTGCTTCTCTCCCAACTCCACTCACCTGAGTCACCGCAGGTGGTTGGCCCATTGCGAACCTCTCTGATTGGTAGTCGGCACCCATCACTCGACAGGTGTGCAAAGACAGGCCTTATCGTGGCAAGATGGCCAGTGCTGTGCGTGTTCACATGTGTATTTCTTTGCTTTTTTCCCACTGTGGCTGCCGTGCTGGTGATGCAAAGTTTGTTTTCGCAGTGGAATCTAGTCGTGGGACAGACTTGTCTCTGCCCAAGGTATGTGGAAGTTTGCCCAGTTGGTCGTGCCTCACAAAGCTTCCCAGGGGAATGCCCTGGCGTAACCTCCACGAAGCGAAGCGCTCTGCCCATTCGCCCACAATACCTCTCTTCTCGTTCGAGTCCCTCGTTGAGTAGGTCTCCGCCAAGGGAGATGGACAGATCGAGGTCGGTTTGCCTGAGAGGCGGCAAGAGCAAGGTTCTTGGCGAGGCGTCAAGACCGTGCGGAGGATGCGGGGAGTGCGGGGGCAGGGTAACCCTGGCAAGATGCAAGATTGGACAATGGCCCCTTCGGTTTCCACCGATTTGATCAATCTCATCGACTACAACGGCCCAGCTCCTGGCGCATCTCTAGGCTTGAACGCGTAAGACTGGACGGGGAGAAGCTTTTTCGGAAGCCGACTGACAAACCCCTTCTGCGTCTCAGTTCGAATGACACGCCAACCCGCCTCGTCAAAGAGCCTCAAAAAGGTCGAGTCCACCCTGGTAACAACCCAGTCAACCTCATCGAGGGCATCCGCACCGCTGGTGCTAAAATTCTCCTTGACCACCATGACTCCGCCGTCGACGTTCAGCGCCTCCTCGCACCGCTTCCGGAAAGCCACAAGTTGCTCGTCCGCCAGGTAGCCAACGCACCACTGTAACCAAATCAAGTCGTAGACCGTCCCCTCAGAGGGGAGCCAGTCTTCCAGGCCGACATTGAAGACGCTCCGCTCCCCTGTTACCTCTTCCAGAGGGGCGACAAACTTGGCAACGGGCTCTATGACATCGACCGCTTCTGCGACTTCGACAAGCAAAACTTGCGTGATCCTTCCGGTCCTGCCTCGCATGTTCAACATGAGCAACCGCAGCAGCGTTTTGCTGCCCATCAGTCACAAAATCAATCGCCCCCCCCCCCCCCCCCCCCCTTCCCTCCAGCGCGCTTGCAACAGTTCGCCACCCATTCTTCTTTCCGATGCCAAGCTTTGCGAGAAACCCGCGAGATCATTGCAGGTCGACTTTGGAAACATGGGAAAAGCTGACCATGGACGGGATGCCACCAAGCATGCCGTCGACGTCGGTGTTGTCGCCCTCCCAATATTCTCTTGCCGGGTTGAACATGGTTGTTAGGATGTGACGCAGAGTGGGATAGGTGTAAGGTAAAGAAGGTATCGAGTCGCCTCAGCCTTCTGGCCTGTGTGGAAAATTGGCGTTGGCTGCAGTGGTGGGGCAGGCCTGGAAATCACGTGCGGGATGAGCCTGCGATTCCCCTTGCCAGTGCGATATGTTCTCGAGCACTGTAGATCCAGTTTCGAGATGTGCGTTGCCTGCGTCTGGTTGATGAAATCTTGGTGTTTCTGGTAGTGTGTTTTGTTGGTTTTTGCTGGCAATGATGGTTCGACAGGGACATACCCTCGAAGATGACAATTGAACGCCGAAGCGAGCGCAATGTCATACTGGAGCCCCACACGTTCACCCTACTTGCCCAGGGGCTTTGCAGGGACTTGCAGTGGAGAGGGTGTTTCGGGAAGATGCGCCACAACAAATAACATCGAAAACGGGCTCAATGGTCTAGTGGTATGATTCGTGCTTCGGGATTCATCCCATTACCTGGTCAAACGGGTTACATGAATGTGCGAGGTCTCGGGTCCAATCCCCGATTGAGCCCCAAACATCTTCTCCCTTGGGAGGTCGAATTGTTTTTGCCTGCCAGGCAACCACTGCATCTGTGCAGTCATGTCTTTCAGGTTCGATGCTCTATATAAGGTGGAGCTAGTGACAATTCCCTGCATCGGCGAGTCTGATGTGGAAGGTCCGACCCGCTGGATGGTGTGTTGCATCGGCATGTCGTGCGCGATCCCGGATTTTCGGCAGCCAATTAGCCGCCATCTTGGAATTGATATCAATGTGTCATCAGCGAGCAGATAAGAACATTTTCACTCCTGGTAACCTCGCCGCGTCAACTTCCTCTCTGCCACTTCTGACCATCGCGATGAGGGCAAAACCCCTCCCCGCGCTGCTCGCAGCAGTCGCAGCCTTTTCACAGCCCGCATCCTCCGAAATCCATCCCTCGCACGAAAGCGCGCGCCAAAATGCTTTCCTCATCTTCAACTCCCTCCGCTCCGCCATGCGCCAATGGGGTTCCTCGCTCTATCACAACGGCATGTCCCTCATCCCCGCCACCATCCCACGCGGAACCACCCTCTACCACGGCGCCCGAAGCAACTCTACCCCGACCGTCCCAGAATGGCTCGCCTTTGACCGCGAACACGCCGAATGGTTCGCCCACGCCCTCCCCTACAACCTCCTCCATCCGCCCAGACCCAAACCCACCCCGTCCTTCCAAAAACCTCTTTCCCTTCCTTCTACCTCGAAAACCGGTACAAACTCCAACAAAACCATCCGCGGCTACCTCCACACCTTCACCACCGCCCGCCCCCTCCACCTCCTCTACCTCGACGGCTCCTCGGCTGCAAATTCCTATTTTGGCACCCTCGACACCCAAGATTACCTCCTCCGCCTCCTCTCTCCCTCTGATAACCGCACCCACCCCATTCTTGACTTTGTCCGCGCGCGGGATCTGTGCGGGATCATCACAGAATGGGGCTATGATGGGGTGATTCGGATGGAGATCGGATTCGAGGTTATCTTTTGTCGTGAGTTCACGCCAGAGGGGGGGTTAAGAAGGGAAAGTTTGTTGAGAAGTCCGGGCCTGGGGAGGGAGGGGTTTGATACGAAGAGGATGAGGGAGGGGATATGGAGGTGGGCTAGGGCGGTGGGGGAGAGGTATGAGGGGATTGGAGGTGGGAGGGTGAGGTTGGATTTTTCGAGGATGGTTAGTGCGTTGTGGTATCCGGTGGATTTGGGGAATCCGGATGGAGAGAGGGAAAGGGAAGGGTTGCGGAGGTTAGTGAGGGTCCAGAGTGAGGAATTGGTCGGGATTAGGAACAGGGTAGAGGAGTTGGCGGGGGAAGGGGGAGAGGAGGGGGTGGACTGGCAGGGGGTGGTGGATATGGTGGTTGCGAGGTATGCAGAGAGGCTGCGGTATATGTCTTGGGAAGGGATTGAGGAAGGGAGATTCGTGGAGGAGGTGTATGCGGTGACGGATTCGTACGTGGAGTATCCGCCGGCAGAGGGGGACGTGACGGTGAGCGGGAAAGATCGGGAACGTTGCGAGAGGGAGTACTTGATGTCTGTCGAGTGGCGACGGGGAGAATTTACAGAGGAGGATAGCATGATCTACGTCGCCATCTCGCGTGTCATGGAGAGGATATGCGAGGTGCTCTTTGACGTTAGAGACAAGCTTGAAGAAGCCCAGCCGGGTCTTGGACTCGAAATGGAGGAGAGGGGGCATATCATGACGGACAAGAAGGAGATGAAGGATGCAGTTCGTCTGGCTCGCAGCGCAGTAAAGGGACTTACGGAGGAGTTACGCTGGACGACATGGAAGAAGTGCCGCGGCTGCGCGCCAGACGAAATCTGCTTCGTGGCAATGTGGCCGTACGGTCGAATTCAAGATCATTACTCGCCGAGCTGCCTGAAGGAGGAGTTGTTTGGGACGACAGAATTTTGGCTGGACAACTACTGGCAGTTAGAGCGTGTCGCTTGATAACGTACCGCATTAAAAAAAAATGGTATCACAATTTTGCCTTACACCAAGAACCCGAAATTGCTGAAAGAGAGCCGTGCCATTGGCAAGTCGCTCGATCATGGTTGCGGCTGGTGTGCTCCGATGCAGCGGGTGGCGGATTTGCCCCTGACATCCACGCCACGCCTTTGACACTGCCGCCCAATGTTGCTTCTCCTCTTCCCTGAAAGTGGCCTATCCTACCACGCTGACATGATCGGTTCGATGCTGGCAGCTTGATGGTTGCCAAATCGGAAATCATCGCGACGACCAGATGCCGGGACATCGAAGCCGACAAGTCAAGACGAGAGGTCAAAACTCAAATTCGATCAAAAGAGTCCAAGCGCCATGACAATCGCAAATCTGGATGAAACCAACCATCGAAACCTCTGTTTGTAGCGGCCGCCAGACCCACTCTCACCGACCCTTCCAGCAGGCAACCACTCGCGGCTCTGCGGGTCGTCGCGATGCGGCAGTGGAATGGCACTTTGGGGGACGCTCAACCTGGGGGAAGGAGCAACCACGAGACCGCCATCTCGAGTCTGACGCCAACCTCTAACTTTCAACGCTTTCCCCCTCTCAACATGGCCCGGATTCGCGCAAAGTGCAAATTTGATGCACGAAAAGGCTCGATGCAGCCAACCGCGCGACAGCGAATCGCGTCCGCAAACGTCCCTGCACGCCAACCCAATCTAGGGCTGACAGGCGGGGGCCCGCAGCGGACTGGGGCCGCCATTGGGTCCGAACCAGGGCCGGCTCGAAGGATTGCACCAACCGAACCCTCGGCGGTCGGGTGCACGGCAGCAGGATGCAGGAGCTGAATCCGCGGTGAGGTCCATTCGCGAAAACGATGCCCAGCCGACGCGCCAAAAATATATCATCCCCACCACGCGCCCGTTCAAGTCTTTCCCCCCTTCTGTTCTCACGACGTTGCGACATCTCGAACCCTTAACGGCGTCACCATGTCCGACGTACCCCCTAATTCTGACCCCGTCGCCAACGGTGGCGGCGGCAAAGACGATCAGACAGAGCTGTTCATCGCGGTTGCCGCCCTGGTCCTCTCCGTCCTCGCCTTCGTCGTCTCCATCCTCCAAGCCCTGCAACAATATTACTCCTCCGCGCGCGGATACTCCTCGTGCGGCCCCACGGTGATTGGGAAATGGGCCGCCTTTCGGCACCGACGCTTCCTCTGGTCCGAGTTCCGCTTCGAGGTTGAGTTCCTGACGCCCGTCATCTTCATCGCGCGCCCCAGTAATACTCGCGGACCGATGGGATCGACGGCGCAGAGCAAGATTACCGTTCTAGACGGGTCCGAGGAGAGCTACAAGGGGGCATGTGTGTTGGGCGAAGAGGAGAAGAAAAAAGAGGACAGTCGGAAGATGGCTGAGCCCGGGAGGGTGCACACTGCGGACAATGAGGCTGCGACGTGGCTGGATTTGCTGATGGCGGTTCAGACCATGGAGGTGGATAGCAGGAGGTGGCAGGAGAAGGTGTTGAGCCGGTACGAGGGCGGCGACCATGAGACCGAAGGGAGCTCGGTTGAGTGGCCGCCCAAGGTCGCGGGAGGGCACAGTTTGACCGTGTGCATCCAGCGGAAGAAGAAGTCGTGGGATACGCTACCTGAGAACGTCACCAAGCCGTACGCGACGACGACGATTGCGCACATGGTTGAGCTGTCAGCCATGTTGGGGATTTACTGGATCGTGTGGAACCGCGAGGACGATCGCTATCTCGGTCAGGGCAACGGCTTCATCTTGTCCGGATCGAATGTTGAGGGATTGGGTCTGACGTTTGCGATCCAAAAGAAGGGCCCGACAATTTGGGGCGCCCACCGACTTGTGCCACACTATTTGGTGAAGGAGCTCTGCTTTGGTTTCTGCCCGACCACGTTCCGCCTTCCGGAGGAGAAGTCATCTGCTGAGGAGTCCAGGGGTATCGGCTCTCTGCAATTCAGCAGCATGGAGGAGATTGGCGAGACGCTGGTTGTGCTGGGCTTGAACGCCAGGAACGTCAATTACTTCCGGGATACGGAGACCAAGGCGCGATACGACCATCTGTTTCCCAGTAAGTCAGCCTAGAGGATGATTTTGAGAACCATGCACGAGCTGACGCTGAGCCAGTCACTTTTGAAATCCTCGGCATGCTGGGTGTCGTTTTCCAAATCAAGGGGACCGTCTTCCGGACACTTCCCAACCCGACTGTTTTCCGATGGGATCCGAAATCGTTCGACCTTCTCGCTTTGCTGGGCGAATTCCGCAAGGCCTTGGCTGGCATAAAGCCAGCAGCTGGAGCCCAACCCTTCAACATCTCTTCGCATCTCGATGCCGTCCTCGTCGCGTTTGAGGAGTGGAAGGCCATGCCCGAAGACTCTGCCCCGGAAAAAGCGACATCTACACCCCCAGCAGCCGCCACCGGCGCGGACATCGAAGCCCAGAAGGGAAACTCCACCGTGACCCAACGCCGTTGGCCCCTCCCCAAGACCTTCAGCGTCATGACCGCCGCAACCCTTAAGACCCAGGGCACAACCGCCACACAGGGCGGCGTCGACAAGCCCGTCCCGCCACGCGCAACCTATACCCCAGCGATTTTCTCTGCTCTTCACGCCGCCATAGAAGCCTGCGACGCCCATCTCAACCCGCTAGCAAACCGCGAAGCCAACTCCCTTTTGCGGGTGGTCCTGCGCGCACACATCCAGGCCGTCCTCTCCATGGTCAATCCAACCGCGGCCGGCATCAACGTCACTTCTTCTGTTACTCCTGCAACTACCGAGGTCGCCGTCGACGGGGCACCGACGATTGAGGATCTCGATGCTGCTTCGGATAAGAAGCATGAGCTTCTTATGGCCATGTACTTCAAGCGCGTTCGCCCGGAGGTTCTGTCAAAGGCTCACGCAAAGTCGACCGGGAGTACCCAGGCGGCTGGTGATATTTGGGACGCTCTAATCTTCCGTATGCTGTGCTGGTTGGTGCTGCATCATTTCCATGAGAAGGATGTGCAGATAGGCCACAAGAGCGATGTGTTTGAGAGCCGAATGCCAGTGT